ATCTATCTATCTATCTATCTATCTATCTATCTATCTATCATTTTTTATTGTTAAACTATTTTTGTTGCTTACTCAAGAAATACAACAGCATATTTATATAGATATATATATATGTCTGTGCATATATATATATATATATATACAAAATTCCACAAAAAATATAAATAAATATATACATATATAACTATATGTATGTATATAGATCTAAAATAAGTTATGATAATGCCAATAACTTAGTTAGAATTTACAGAGGGGTGCTCACAAATACATTTGAAGACTGGGAATAATAATAATATGTTTCCCCCACGAAAAGATCTTGGCAATGTCAGCCTTTAATGCACACAAATGTATAGTTACTACATTAAAAAGCTATTTATTTTGAACTTTATAGTAGGTTTCCAGAACCTAATGTTATATGCTGTGGGGAGATAGTAGTTTTTAATGGAATTTCCTGGTGTGTTCATATGCACATCTTTAAAATTATTCTTCCTCTTTTACTTGTGTGCAGGCCGTGTATTTTATATCTGCATGTGTATAAAAAGTGGATTGTACTTTTCTTAAATTCGGTCTTGATGACCTTTGAACCCTGTTAGTTCTCACGTAGTTCCACAAACCCTTTTCTAAAACTGCCTCCTTTATATTCAATTCTCATTTAGCCTGCTCTGTAATGTCTCTGCAGGTCAACTTTGATTACTTTCTGTTCCAGTTAACTTATTTAGTCTGCACCCTGCTGGCGGAAGTTAGGTCAAAGAGCAACACATGAAACATTGGACCGCCTGATTAACATATTCCGGTTAGAAGTTAAGGGGGGGGGGTTACTCAGTAAATATTAAAACACTTTTCTTACATCCAAGTCGGATATACTAGTTATTCTGAACGGATGTCCCTTTCTATTGAGAAACAATATGAATACTAAACGTTATCCAGTCAGAAGGAAACAGAAAAAAAAGAAAAGTGATTTCCGGACACCCCTCCGGACCACAGAGTGGTGCAGTCCAATTCGCGCTCGGCGGTTTGGCGCTAGTAGCTCAGCTAGCTTGTAGCCGGGAGCCGTCACATTCGCCCTTCCTACAACTCTCCCAGAGGCGGAATCCTCTGTTTATGGACAGTCATGTCTGAAGAGGAGGGGAAAGTTACGTGCGAGCTGTTCAAAGATGTCAAGTTCTATCTGGTTGGAGACATAGATCAAAAGGTATGGATATGATTTGTTAGCTTATTTGAGTTGTATTAGAAGCATGCTAACATGTCAGATAAGCTCATCTGTACAAGGTGTTAGCAACAGGCTAACTCATTAACCGGGTTTATGCAAAGCACCCCCTGTTTTGTGCCCAAACCCTTTTTCTCTGTCTTTCAGACTTGAGAAACCTTTTTTTCTTAGCTCCATCTTCCTATTATAGCCCCTCTAAGCCTTGATGTCCTAGCTAAGAGCTTCCTGTGTTAGCCGATAGCTAGCTTACAGCTGGACAGTAGCCGTTAGGGGGGCGGGGAGCTGGTGACTAATGCAGCCATTCCCGGACTTTATTTTCCTTTATTCTGGCGGCACATGAGCTGCAGAGTTGTTGGATAGCGCAACAGATCCAGGCAGAAATTTTCCAGCCGTCTGAGTCTGTCAACACTTTCCCACTTTGCGCGCCGCTCACTGCGCATGCGCCATGGCCGTTTGACCCCCTGTGGCCAGAGATCTGAGGCCTGTGAACTTCTTAAAAAACAGAGTTATAGGCAAATAAGATAGCTGCCCCTGTCCGCTGTGATTCTGTGGAGCTCAACGTGAACAAATCCATGTCAAAAACAGAAGAAAACTATTATTTTTGGGAGTTTCTGTGTCGTTCCTGCTTTGAGAAGCAGTTTTTTTCCTGTCTCCGTCTCACCTGGGATGTTTACCTGACAGTCTTCTGCCTACTTTTTAGGTGGTGCAGCTCCTGAAGGCCGGCAAAGGGAAGGAGGTGTCCTACAATGCTCTGGCCACTCACATCATCGCAGAGGATGGAGACAACCCGGAGGTTAGCGAGTCCAGAGAGGTTTTTGACCTGCCCGTCGTCAAGGTGAGGCTTCCTGTAGCTATGGGAACATTTTTCCTTTTTTTTTTTTAGGGATCAGAGCTACTCCTGAACTGGGGAGCTGCTCTGAAAGTTCCTGTTTGTGAGGAGCTCCACTCATGACTGTGTATATGAGTGTATGACTGTATATAAGCCATCCTGATCACCTCAAATCTCTGTGTTACTCCATTGTATTTTTATTTATTTTCATTGTTTATACTTTATGCACGTTTTCCTCCTTGTTTGCACCTTCTGTAATCACTTAGCCGATGTGTGAACAGTGAATTTCTCCACTGTGAGATCAATAAAGCTTATCTTATCTTATCTAATCTTATATTGTCTTAGCTTAGTTTAGCCTAGCCTAGCTTAGCTTATCTTATCTTATCTTGTTTTATCTTATTTTAGCTTATCTTGTCTTATTTTAGCTTTGCTTAGCTTAGTTTATCTTAGCTTAGCTTAGCTTATCTTATGTTGTCTTGTCTTAGCTTATTTTATCTTATCTTATCTTGTCTTATCTTATCTTAGCTTATCTTTTCTTATCTTGTCTGTGTCTTTGCAGCCCTCCTGGGTGATCCTCTCGGTTCGGTGTGGAGACCTGCTGCCGTATCCTTCCATTAGTTTCTCACACAAGAATGAACTGACCTGCTTACTGAATTATTATGTTTAATCTCCCAGTGGGAACCTTTTTGTTTAAAAAAAGAGAGAACAGGTGGCTTCAGTGGAGCTCTTTTCCCTAACAACCAACACCAGAGTTACCGGATTCTCCCCAGAATCAGGACAGATTTTCTTCGGGGTGACAGCTTGTCTTCCCAGAGTAAGTGTGTGTCTGTGTGTGTGTCTCTGTCTGTGTGTGTCTCTGTTTGTGTCTCTGTGTGTGTGTCTCTGTCTGTGTGTGTGTGTGTCTATGTGTGTGTGAGTGTGTGTGTATATGTGTTTCTCTGTGTGTGTGTGTCTCTGTCTGTGTGTGTGTGTCTGTACATGTGTGTGTGTTTGTGTCTGTCTGCGTGTGTGTGTATGTGTGTTGTTTTAACAGGAGCCCCCATTACCTGTGTGGTTTTAATGAGGGTGTGCTATGAGTGACTGTGTTAGAGGTGATTTCTAACCCTGTTTACCATGGTTGTGTGTCTCTGTGTGCTCTTTCCGGAAGCTTCCAGACGACCTCAGTGCGCTGTGGGCCTATGTAACCTTCTATGGGGGGGACTGCCAGCTCAACCTGAACAAGAAAGTCACACACCTGGTGGTGAAGGAGCCCAAAGGGGTGGGTTTCTCTGAGGTTTTTTCTGTAAATGTTAAGGCCTAATACACAAACCAATTCATATTTTTTTAAATGCTAATCTTTGGTGTTCATCCAACCTCATGATGATGCCATTTTTTTTTTGTGTTCTGCTTTTTATCTCCAGGCAAAGTTTGAGTGTGCCTTGAAACACTGTGGCATCAAGATAGTCACCCCAGACTGGATAACAGACTCTGTCAAAGGTAAAGTCACCTGTCTGAAGCTAATTAGAAGCTAGCTAGCTAATGGAGCTAGCTAGTCCGAAAGACACCATGTTTCCCTCCTGTTAACTAAGTTCTATGTTAACAGGTCTATGTTTTATAACTAAGCTAGCTCTTAGAAAACATATTAATTGTACTTATATTTACTGTACTGTACATTTATTTACTATATATTGTAGTTTATATTTAGCCAAGTAATTGACATTTCGTTGTCAAGAACCACCTTGTGTTTGTCTATTGATCGAACAGGCTGTGATTGGCTGAAGCTAATTAGAAGCTAGCTAGCTAATGGAGCTCTTAAACCATGGAGAACATGGCTAATGGAGCTAGCTAGTTGTTTCTTTAATCCCAATAACAAACTGGAGTCTCTATATTACACATAATTGCTAAAGCTAGCTAGAACAAGAGGCCAAATTATATAGCTGTTAATCAGTCTGAAAGACACCATGTTTGATACGTTTCCCCCCTTTTTCTCCTTGTTCTCCCAGACAAAAGCAGGAAGGATGAGGCCCTGTACCACCCCAGGCATATTTATATATATATAACATATTTATTGTGCAGGAATAAGGTCTTAGCTCT